CGTTCATCTGTGGAAGCTTTTATCTTTTTATACCACAGCTTGAACCACAGCTTGAACCACACCTAGAACCACAGCCAGAACCACAGCCAGAACCACAGCCAGAACCACAGCCAGAACCACAGCCAGAACCACACCTAGAACCACAGCTTGAACCACAGCTAGAACCACAGCTGAGAACACGTTCATCTGTGGAAGCTTTTATCTTTATTCCACACATGTTAGTAATAAGTGAATAATAATTGAATCCCTCATACCAAGACCCCCCCCCAAAAAAATTATTTTATTTGTAAATGTTCCCTCTAATTTTCTGAGGCCCCTGTAACGCTCCCTGGTGGCCACCAGAACCACCACTATAATAAGTCAACAACATTGTTGGAAAGAAAAAGAAATTTGAATTTTTTTTTTTTAATCATTTCACGTCAGGCCTGGTGTCATCGAAGGGGATTTTTTCTTTCTGAACAGAACTTGTCGTCACTGCCTTTCCCCGGCCTCACAGATCCTCAGCTTTGAGGGTCATTTCCATACTTCAGGTCACGCTCCACCACACCCAGACGGCTGCGGCCGTCACACACCGTCTCTGGTGTCACACTCCTCATTTATCATTCCACCATTTTTACTGCAGATTTTCTGCCTTTCCTACATGTTGATCCTGGGATTTACAGAGCGGAGCTCAGGAAAAGGCAGGAATTTAGGGGCTGGAATTTCAATAAATAATCAAGCACTCAAGGGCGGGCTTAAAACTAAAAAAAAAAAACTAAATAAATACATTATATTTGTGCCCTTGTGATAGTACCAGGATAACTTTGACTTTTTCTCAGTGTCAGTGGTCAGCTGTCCTGATGACATCAGTCAGTCTGGAGGTCAACCTGCTGTGAGGATCAGTCCGTGGATTTTACCAACGTCAGATTAGGCTGTAATTCGCCCTCATTTGTTTTAACCTCTGACTGTAACAGTCTGCTCTGCAGGAGCGTCCAGACTGAATCATGTTCCAATCCCTGAGAGGCTGAAGCCTTTCTGTGACACTGAAGAAGAAAATGAAGTTTCATTCATTTTTATCAAAGCTTCGTCAAGATTCCGTCAGAGGAGCTGAATGTCAGCGTCCTCGAAATTCTAAAGACAATTCATCGAGTTATCCACAAAGATGATACAAATCTTGTACAGATAAAGATAAATTCTAATTTACACCAGAGTTAGTCTAGAGAGCGGCAGCATAAACTAGCCGAGCTAATTATTGCAGCTACACGCTGAGAAGAAGAAGAAAATGTCAACACTACTACTACTACTAGTAGTACTAGTACTATTAAAAATAATACTGGTACATTTTGTGAGTAAATACCTGACAGTTGGCCATTAATAGAATATTTTTAACAAAAGCCACTATTGGCCCCGGGCCAGACTTTGAACATCACACAGTTCAGTTGTAGAAGATTTAGAGAATTCACAGAACCAGGACCCAGATGGTACAACAAGAACTCCAGTACCGATCTGTGTGTGGTCAAACCTATGGGTCGTTTCAAAGAGGAGAGCGCAGGAGCAGCAGCTTTGGAGCAGCAGCTTTGGAGCAGCAGCTTTGGAGCAGCAGGCTGGAGAACCCGCTTCACCTCAGTGCCACCACAGCATTATGGAAATAGAATCTTTTTTTTTTCCCTCTCAGCCACAGGAGCTTGACCATCAAACCTCCTGACTCCACGTTCACAGCTTTTTCCTCACATCACCAGAACCCCCCCAACCCCCTGCTCTTCTCTGCCCCCTGTTGACTTTATTATAGGAACATCTTTGTTTACATTATAACAACGCAAGACCTTGAACTGGGATTTAAAACAAACAGAAAAGATTAAAAGAATAAAAACTAAACTACATTTCCAGGTGTTTTTGTCAAGTCTAGAGCCGAGTTTTTTTTTCTCTTTTGTTTCGTTACCATATGCCAGCTCCCCGTCCTGAGCTGCTCAGACCAGATGAGCACAGACTGACACACTGATGTGTGGCTGATAAGTGACAGGTGATGCAGAGTTAACACTCTGGTCTGGAACTCTGCACCCAGGGTGGAGGTCTAGACCAGACCAGACCAAACATGTTGAGAGGCTGCAGTCGGGCCGTGGTTCTGTGAGAACTCTGAGAGGACTCCTGGGGGGATTGAACCTATAACTTAATAAATGTGGTGTAACCTTTGCTGCGGCTCCAGTCTGTAAACTGATGCAGAAAAATGTAATGTTGCAAAGAATTGCTGACAGGTTGGAAGTGCTGTGTAAGAAAAGAGGGAGTCTCACGACTCTGCCGACTCTTGTCCAAAGGTATTACGAGTCCTGGGAATATTGTAAAAACACAGCTTTATGCTCCAGCTCACTGTATTTCTGTGGTGCCGCAGGGTGAGGAGACAAGAGCAGAGTTTTATTGTCTGTAGCTGGAAAAATTGTTCATGCTGGAAACAGGAGAGGGGAACAGAAGAAGAAGGTTTTATTCCCATTGATTGTCAGCCATAATCAAGAGTTCCGATGTTAGCTCATTTCCTCAGCAGTGCTTTCTGCTGCCAGGATGATCGAGTCCCCTCCGGGCTCCATCTCTCTGTGTTTGTGGAGCTCACAGGTTGAAGCAATAAGAAGCTGAACATCATTGATGTCCACACACATCAGAAGTGAATAATGTCACGCCTTTAGCTACGGGTCGGCTTCAGATGGTGAACGTTTCAGCTCCTCGTCTGTGGGTGGATGAGATGCTCTGCTCAGAGAGAGAGGAACTCTAAAAACAGAGTGGGATGTGAAGAGCTCCCTTTTTTTGTCAGATTTTCAGGTGATGAGAACGTAATGACTCAGACTCAGGTCCAGTTTGATGTCTCTGCTCCTTCTGTCCGCAGGTTTCTTTCACCTACGAGTTCCCGAGTCTTCCGCGGTCGGCTCGGCTGTGGGCAGAATCAAGGCGCATGATCTGGACATCGGGAAAAATGCCGAAGTTGACTACAACATCGTCCCCGGTGACGGGGGAGCCATGTTTGACATCACCACCAACAGCCATAATCAAGAGGGAATCATCATTCTCAAGAAGGTAGGAGAACTCCAAGGATGAAGTGGTGGAAGTGTGAAGAGGGAAAAGCCGACTTCCTGTTGAATATATCACACTCCCAGCAGTGTGCAGATTGGGAGACGACAATGGAAGTCTGTGTTTTCCAAACCATGACACATACGGGTGTAAGAAAATATCAGTACACTGAATTATCACAATCTTTCCTTTCATAAGAAGCTTGAAAACACCAGTGCCCTGTTACTGATGGAGTCGTCGTATAAACGCACTGCATTATGAAAAATCCAAAGTATAAAATGTGTATTTTCTAAGCCTCAAGGGCTGGAGATTAGACAGAGTTTAGAGAAGCAGATGTAGTTGTGGGCAAAGCTGGAAGACTTTTATCAACAGAGAAAATCTCCAACCACATTTCAGCTGCACAGCAGCTGCTGCTCATATCAACTTCTAATAACTGTGATACAGAAGTGGTATTGGTTCTGGCTGGATACAGAGAGAGAGAGAGAGAGAGAGAGAGAGAGGAACGCTGTCTGGAGGTCTGACACGAACCCAGTCGAGGTTCTAACATCTGTGACGGTTTAGTGGTGGGTGACAACAGCAGTCAGGGTTAGTTAAGATAAACTGGGAGGCCACTTAACTCAGCTGTTTTCATTTATCATTGTAAATCTGTGTTCTTTTACTGACAGATTTATTCGTCGAAACGTTATCGCCGTTAAATCCATCGTCAAACTTAACTGAACACATGACAAGCACAGAATAAACTCATGTCAATCTTTTAGCTGATTTCACTGAGCCTTAGTTCCCGTCCTAACCTCCACTAACGCTGTGGATTGAATCGTCTGGGAGGCTGAGCTGTCCGTGGTGCTGATTTCACAACCTCCTGCCTCTGATCCATGTGCTGCACCTACGTACAATATGCGCTCCGTCTGTGGTAACAGTGAAATCACTGAGGACACTCATTAAGGAAGTGGATACACTGAAGTAGCAGTGCATACGCTGTTCAACAACAAGTATTTGCCTGTAACAGGATGAAAATTAAATTTTATGCCTGGAGAGCCACGGGGGTTAGAAGAACGTGGTGAATAAAGTCTCGACAGATGCCCGTTATCTTTATAACCCAGATGTTTAGAAAGTGCAGGAAAGGAAGAAAGGTTGAGAAAATACGAAGCACCACCGCGATTCTTTTTTTATAGGCTGCAGCTGAGACAGATGAGGTGTAAAAAAACAACTGAAAGGATAACTAAGTACATGCCGTTTATTATACACAGTAAAAAATTAACAGCCTGCCTCAGCATCTTGGAGGTGGATGTGCTGCACCTGCATGAACGTGAAGGTGTGGCTGCTTCCAGCACCTTCCAGCACCTTCCAGCACCCTCCAGCACCACAGCTGTGCTGTACCTACGTGTTATATTTACATCTACGGCTCTGTTGTTCCACTGAAGCCACCGGTCGTCTGAACTCCCACTGAAATATTCCTGCTTTGATACTGGTTTATTCACTGCATAACACTCATTAAAATGAAACAGTACATACAATAAAAAAGGGTTAAAACTGAAATATACAATGGACAAAAAACTATATATAACAAGTGATAAAAACACACAGGAAGTCACTGCTGTTAAAAGGCACGACGCCTGCGGTTTTTTTAAATTATTCTTCCTCCTCGGATGAAGGACTTTAAAAAACTAAAAAACTACGTTTTGAAGTAACAGTGAACCTCATGTGGGTTAGTTATTGGTTTGTTATAAAACCCCATCATAAAGTGGCTTCACCAAAGTCTTGACTTTCACACGTTTCTGCAGAGAAACTGCAGACATGTTTGGTAATAAACGTCACAAACATATGGAAGAGCTGAACTG